GGCGGGAGGCGAAGGGAGAAAGCAGGCGGAGCGGGGGAGCGGGACCTGCTGTGTGTCCTGGGCCCTCCACTGCTGCTGCTGAGGGGGAGTCTCCCACCTTCCTGGGAGGGACTAGGTGGGAGCACCCCTCCATGCCTGGCCCATGCTCCAGGGCCATGCAGCCTGGGGGCCGACACTCCAGCCATTCCCCAGCATCCAGGTGCCACAAGAGGATTCCTGCACCTGAGTGGCAGGTGCACACCTTCCCCAGGCCTGGTGGCTGTCCCGCTGCAAAGGGAATAGGTCGTGCGTGGCGCTTCCCTGCCTGGGGGATTCCCAGCTGGGACACTTGTCCTGGTGGAGGGAGGGGTTAGCTTCCGGGGGTGTAGGGCAGCTGGACTGGGTGGGGGGATGAAGAGTTCTGCTCCTTGCTCTCATATTGTCTTTTCTTTTCCCTCTGCCTCCGGCACCAGTTGTTTCTCCCTCTTTCCTCCTTCTTTCACTCTCAGCTTCTCTTTGGCATGTCTGTCCTCGCTCACGTTCACTCACTCGTCCCTAGCCCGCAGGCCTGCTGACAGCAATTCTGGACCCCAGGGCAGGACAGCCAATGGGCCACCACTCATGCACAAGCCGTACTCGCACAGACACAATCCGCCTGACATTTGGGCAGTGCTACATCTGAGCTGGCTGGTGCCTGGCAAGCTGCTGGCTGTGCTTTTGCAGTCCCTGTCTCACCCCTTCTCTGAGGCCTGTCCCCCCACTTCACCCTCTCTCCCTCTGTTGCTCGTTCTCCTCCACCCTCACTTTCACCAAACTGGGGTAGAGGGTTGGGGTGCAGGAGGGGGCATAGGATGCAGTATCTGGGAGGCAGTTTGAGTGTGGGAGTGGATGCAGGAGGAGATTAGGGGGTCTATGCTTACTTCAAGCAGCTCCTGAAAGCAACCAGCAACCATCCTTCTGGCAGTGGCTCCCAGGTGGTGGTGGTGGTGGGGGGGGGGCAGAGTGGTCTTGCATGCCGCTGCCCACTGGCATCACCCCTGCCGCTCCCAATGGCTGCAGTTCCCAGCCAATGGGAGCGGTGGTGTCAGTGCTCAGAGCCATGGCAGTGTGCAGAGACCCCTGTGGCTGCAGGCGCAGTTCCAGCCCCTTCCAGAAGCAGCATGGAGCAAGGGTGGGCAGGAAGCCTGCCTTAGCTCTGCTGTGCTGCTGGTGGCAGAGGCCAGGGCCCCCAGGCCCTTTTAATTCACCTGGGCCCCAGGCAATTGCCCTCTTTGCCCCCCAGCACTGCTCGCTGCTCAGGGCTGGCCCCAGGTGTGTGCATTCAGCCAGCCCCTTGCCCATGCCACTGGTTCCTTCAGTGGCAGCCCTGCAGCGGCTGCTGAAACAAACGCGCAACCTGTCAGCATGGCCCTGCAAACAGAATCCGCCCACCCCAGGTTTGCAGGGTCACATCAGCAGCCTGAGCTTATGCCAGGCCAGGCCAGGGGCTGGCTGAGCGGAGCTGACCAGTGTTTCCTGGAGGGTCTTAGACAAGTGGGCTGGGTCACCCATGGACGATGTAAGTTCCGAGCGGTGAGAGCAGGGGATGGAGCCAGACGGGTGAATCTTTCTCACTGCAGCCCTTTCCTCTCTCCTTCACCTCTGTTCCTCTCCTGTTCCACTTCTCCGGGGCTTGGCCCTGGGGCTTGCTCATTATCGACTTGGAAGAGGAGCCTAAGCAGCTTGCTAATTAAAGCCCCAGAGGGGCCGAGGGACCTTTCAGTCTGCCGGCCTGGGATGAACCTGGAGCCCTGGCATGCGCGAGCTCCGGCAGCTGCCCCTTTTCCTTACAGAGGAGGGAAAGGGTGGGTGATGTCCTGCTTTGAATCCTGAGTGATGAGCTAGCGGACAGAGGCCTCGGGGGTGCCGGGACCAACAGAAAACACGACCTGCGCTTGTGTGTATAAATATTGGCTAAATAGATTTATTTTCATACAAAGATTTCACGGCTCTCCCTACAGGACACTGGATCCCCCGCAGACGCCCTCTCCCCCTGCACGAGACGTACGAGACATCCTGCCGCCGTGCCTGCTGGAAGCTGCTGCAAGCCCTGTCTTCCGGCTCCCTTGTGCTTCTTTTACTAACCACTCCTGGAAATGCCAGTGCCTGCCCCGAGGCCAGCGTCTCCTGCCGCTTTCTGGGGCTGGTGTACAACGGGAACCTCCTATAGAACAGGGATGGGGAACCAGGGCTTCGAACCAGTGCAGCTGCAACAGCCTCCAGCTTTCCCCCTTGGCCACGTGGGGCACAGCAAATACCAAGGCAGATTCAATGCTGGTGTAGGTGAACACAACTCCATTGGCTTCAGTGCTTACACCAGGGCTGCTTGGCCCACGGAGACTCCTCCGGCACCCTCCCCCCACACCTCATGATGTTACATGCACAATCCCAGAGTCGGGGGCACACAGGAGCCCTTTGCGGACCCTTTTGGGCACGGTCAGAAGTTCCCTACTTGGATTGTTTGCCATGGGCGGCTGCGGTGCTCAGGTGGGACGCAGGTTTCTCCCCACATCCCACGGGGCCCTGCTTCTACTGGTTGGCCCACCCCAGCACTACAGATGGCCCAGGAGATGTGCACTCTTGGAGCCAAGAGGCTGGACAACCGCTCATACCCCAGCCATGAATCCACGATGGCTTCCTGCTCTCCCTTTATTCATCCCATTGGGCAGGGACGGGCAAGACAGCCTCTGCGGGCTGCATCCGGCCTGCCGAGCTGGTGGGTGTGGCCTACGGCTGCCTTGCCACTCCCCCACCCCCAGGCCAAACGAGACCGAGGGATGGGGAGTGGCACGAAGCCTCTTCCTCCGCCAGGGGTGCGCGGCGGCTGGAGGGAACCGCCAGCTTTTTAAAAACAGCCGGTGGTTCCCTCTGGTGCCGCACGCCCCTGGCAGGGCTGGGGCAGGGGATGAGGGACTTAGCGTGCTCCTCAGCCCCCAATTGGCCTGGGGGCAGGGGAAACGTGTGAAGTCTCCTGCCGCTGCTGTGCCTAGAGGGAACCGCCAGCTCCTTTAAAACAGCTGGCGATTCGCTCTGGGCGCCGGGGGACAAGACTTCACACGCTCCCTCCGCCAGGCTGATCCGGATCTGTGGGCAGGGAAGCATGAGAAGTCTTTTGGCCTCGCCCCTGCTGCCCGAGGCCCCGCCCCTGCAGCCCGAGGCCCCGCCCCTTCCGGGGCAGCTCAGGGCCAATTCAGAAATTTACGAAGTGACCCCCCTTTAAAAATTCTTGCCCACCCCTGCCACTGGGGCTCTGTCAGGGAGGAACGCTCTGGCTGGGATTCCTTGGAAGTGGTTTCACTGTCCCCACCACTGCTCTGCAATCCAAGGCACAGCTTTTAAAGAGCCGGGATTCAGGCAGGCTGGAATGGCAGGGATCTGTAGCAGCACAGGGATCTCAGCCGGGGGTTGGTCATTCTCGGCTCCCTTCTGTAGCGTGTGGCAGCGTGGGCTGGACTCAGCAAACTGGCATCTAAGTCCCGCTCCGCCATGGACCTTCTGTGTGACCTTGGGCAAGTCACTTTGCCGCTTTGTGCCTCAGTGTCCCCTCCCACCTTCGGCCTTCTCTGTCTCTTTAGTAAGTTCTTAGAGGCACAGACTGCCCATATTTATGTTTATGCCGCTCCTAGTGCAGTGCAGCCCTGGTATTGGCTATCATCATAGAAGTACAAATAAGAACAGTAATAATATAGCACATTTCATCCTGAAGGATCCCAAAGTGCTCTAGAGATGCCTCCCTGAAATGCAGCCCGCTCTGGGGTGGGATGTGGTAGCTGTTTAACAGCATACAGCAACACCACACAAGAGTGTTTAAAGAAGAGCAAAGATAAACTCTGACTAACTGCACGGGCATGTTAGCTTAGCAGAACGTAGTTACCTGAGCTGGAATTTAAGGCCTTCCCTTCTCCTGTCTCTGCCCACCTGTTTCCTTCTTTCTCCCATCCTGCGCCACGTGCCCTCCACAACCTCCCCACAATCATAGGCCGAGCTCCCTTTGCCTGCACCCTCCAGGGACGGGGTCCTGTTTATGGTCTGTCACCTGACTTTGGACTGTGAGCCCTGCGAGGCAGGAGACTGGTGTTGGGTCAACTCTATTTCTGGCACTCTAGCTGGGATTTATAATCACAACAAGGACACGTAGTGACCGGTGCGCTCAGGTCCTTGGTTTTACCTCCCTGAAAGGCAGCTGGGTGGGGCTGTGCCCGGGCCTCTCTCTGGCAGGAGCAGTTGGTTTTTCACAGGACACTGATGCTCTGATACCGAGGCTGGGAACAGGACCCTCTGCAGATTCTACACCCCCCTGCACAGTCCCTGGGCGTAACTCATCTCTGTGCAGCTGGCCGGCCTGGGAACTGGCTCAGGCAGCCAGTGGAAATCCCGTGTGTGTGCTGGGCATGGACTCAGGAGAGGCGCAGAGTGAGCCGGGCTCCTGTCTGGGGGCCTAACCCAAGCCATTGTGCACGCGAGACTGCACCTGCCGACAGGCCTTTCTGGGGCCTCACCAACCCCTAACCCTAAGGGAGGCCGCACGACCTGCTGGACAGCTGAGTCTTCCCTTCTCTGTGCCTCGGTTTCTTCATTGGTCCGGTGAGGCGGACGATGCTGGCTCCCCTGCCTGCGGGGGTTGTGGAGCTGTCTTGCCTGGAGGAGATGGAAAGCCCCAGCTGTGTCCACTGAGTCCTCCGCCCTGTTCCCCGCCTCGTTCTGCTCGAGGGGACGGGCAGTAACGTGCAGGCGCCAAGCTCGCCTGGCGGCCACAACGACAACATCAAGGGGGCTTGGGCACATGCTGGGAAGCCCCCCTCACCCGCGTGGCTCCAGCTTTTGGCCATTCATCCTGAGGCTCCCCACGAAGCGTGTCTGTCCAACTGGGACTTGCCTTTGGCAGCCCTGGGGATGCTTGCAGGGAGCTGTTTCTTTCAGTGCCTGGCAGGAGCCGGGGGGTCACTCCCAGCAGCCCCCCAGGGCCTTGCAGTTCAGTGAGAGCCATCAGCAAGCGTCACCCCAACTCTGAAGGACCACGGAGGAGGGGATCGAGTGCCAGCCACCCAATAAATAAATAAATAGGGGCAGGGTTTCCTCCAACCTCCGTGGAAACCTGCCCTCCTGCTGTCTGGCCGAGGGTCTCCGCTCACAGCTCGGCTAATGCCCTTCCGTGATCACCTGCAGCCCCCGGACCACACACAGCTCGGCCCATGCCCCTCCATCTGCTCTGCCGTCCCCCCTGACTCCGGGGACGGCCCGGGCCCCTGAGCGTGCGGTGGTTTCGTAAGGCAGAGACGTGTCCTCTCCGGACCCCACCACAAACACAGGAGCTCCGAAGGGTTTGAACCTGCAGCTCCCTCCCCCGGTGGCGAACACTGTTTGAAACACACGTTGAAACTGACGGGAGTGAATGGGGATAAAGCAGCCGGTGGGAGCCTCTGCCCCCGGGGGGCTGCTCAAGGCCTCTGGCCCGGGACGCCGTTTCTAGAGCACTGAGAAGCTTGGTGATTACAACAGGGAAGGGCGGACACAGCTCTGGGAGCCACCTCCAGCGCTCTGCGGGGCCTGCAAGTGCCACGGGGCCAGCCTCCAGTGTCTCTCCTGCAGGGCAGGTGGCTGGGGCAGGGCAAAGGCAGCGAGCCAGATGGGAAACTGGGCCGTCGGGGGATGGCTGGTGTCAGTGGCCAGATCTCCTGTGGGCAGGACTCTCCGGGCTCGCCAGTACGGGGTGCCAGCTGGAGACCCCGCAGCAGGCTCAGTTGCGCTTGGTGGCCATCTGTCGATCTCGCTTCTTCTTCTCCATCAGCCTGGGGGAAAAGAATGTGGAACATGGCTTTGGACTCCCACGGCCCACGGGGAGCCGCTAGACTGCCACGGCCCACGGGGAGGCGGCTAGACGGCCACGGCCCACGGGGAGGCGGCTAGACGGCCACGGCCCACGGGGAGGCGGCTAGACGGCCACGGCCCACGGGGAGGCGGCTAGACGGCCACGGCCCACGGGGAGGCGGCTAGACGGCCACGGCCCACGGGGAGGCGGCTAGACGGCCACGGCCCACGGGGAGGCGGCTAGACGGCCACGGCCCACGGGGAGGCGGCTAGACGGCCACGGCCCACGGGGAGGCGGCTAGACGGCCACGGCCCACGGGGAGGCGGCTAGACGGCCACGGCCCACGGGGAGGCGGCTAGACGGCCACGGCCCACGGGGAGGCGGCTAGACGGCCACGGCCCACGGGGAGGCGGCTAGACGGCCACGGCCCACGGGGAGGCGGCTAGACGGCCACGGCCCACGGGGAGGCGGCTAGACGGCCACGGCCCACGGGGAGGCGGCTAGACGGCCACGGCCCACGGGGAGGCGGCTAGACGGCCACGGCCCACGGGGAGGCGGCTAGACGGCCACGGCCCACGGGGAGGCGGCTAGACGGCCACGGCCCACGGGGAGGCGGCTAGACGGCCACGGCCCACGGGGAGGCTGCTAGACTGCCATGGCCCACGGGAGGTGCTAGACTGCCACGGCCCACGGGGAGGCGCTAGACTGCCATGGCCCATGGGGAGGCGGCTAGACTGCCATGGCCCATGGGGAGGTGGCTAGACTGGCACGGCCCACGGGGAGGCGGCTAGACTGGCACGGCCCTCGGGAGGTGACTAGACTGCCACAAAGTCTCTTCAGTGGAGTAGTGTGATGGGGTGTGCACCAGCCAGTTAAATTGGAATATTAACCTTATATGTGGCACTTGGGGAAGAACTAGAGACCAACAGGATCTAAGGCAGTGTTTCTTAAACTGTGTTCTGTGACACACCGGTGTGCAGCAGAGAATAGAATTCAAAAGCTAGACTGCCACAGCCCATGGGGAGGTGGCTAGACTGGCACGGCCCACGGGGAGGCGCTAGACTGCCATGGCCTACGGGGAGCAGACAGCTGATGTCTGACACTCTTTTTAGCTGCTCTCCAATGACAGATCTCGTGACAGCACAGCTGTGCTTGTCTTAGCTGAGGGAGGGTGCACAGGCGAGATCACGTTGTCTCTAGTGGCTGGCCTTGAGAGTGGCTAAAGCAGCGTTTCTTAAACTTTTTAAGACTGAGGAACACCAAGGATTTTTGGTCGAGAAAAAAAAAATTCGGGGGAAAAGGGTCAGCAGGGAGGGAAGTTACTGAAGGGAAAAAAGGGTTGAGGAAAAAAAGGGTTGGGGGAAGTTATCGAAGGGAAAAAAAGCTCGCCTGCCTCTTTAAGGGCAGCCATTTTGAATTTTGTTGTTCTCCACGGCACACCAGTTGAAGAAACACTGGGCTAAAGGCCCTACTAAAGCAAAGGGCGCTCCCCGTTAGCAGCCTGTGTTTTTCAGGTGGAGGCAGCTGGCGGGTGGATGGGTTTATCCTCAGGCACATGCAGGCAGGACTCACTTCCTGTTGCGCACTTCGGTCAGCTCCATCAGCCGCTCCTGGGCCGCCCGCAGCTCGTCCAGCCGCTGCTGGTAGCGCAGGTCACAGTTGTTGCTGTGCTCGAAGCTGGATACCTGGTTGGAGAGCTCGCTGGCTCGGTCCCGCAGCTGCTGGATGGAGGAATACAGGTTCTCGTCGTCTTCTTCCTGCAACAAGGAGACCCCCAGGGCGGGGCATGATGGGGGCTGAACGACCAGCCTGCCCCGCCTTGAGAAACACTCTCTGGAGGCAGAGAGCCTATGCCTCTGGGTAGCCCTCCACATGCCCTCCAGTGCTAGGCAGCTGGCTTCCGAATCTCTTTCGATCACAAGTGCCAGGAGCTGGCCAGTCTCAGTATCGTTTCAAACATGATCTGTGGCCCAAACCGCCCCATCATTTGGTGACATGCGGTCAATTAACCTAATGCTTTAATGAATCCTCACGGGCCTCCCTGTGAGCCCGGCCAGCATGTGAACCATTCTCCCCATTTCACAGGTGGGGGAACTGAGGCGGGGGGAACGGGCTTATCCAAGACCGCAGAGCAGGGTCGGCCCACAACATTTTGGCACCTGAGGCGGGAAGCTCAAATGACGCCCCCGTGCCCATTTCTCCTGCCTGCCTGTTATGTCTCTTGTGCCCTCCTTCCTCCAGCACAGCACTCCCCCATCTCTGTGCACCTAGAATGGTAGTCATGTGCAGTGCACACCGAACACACAACTGCAAGGGTGCAGTCTCAGCCTGACAGCAGTGCAGCTTCTGAAGACTACAGATCCCAGCATGCAGAGCACCTGTGGGAGCGGCGCCTGAGGCTGCACTGCATGCTGGGACTTGTAGTCTCCATGGGCCGCCCCCGCTGCAGGAAATATGAGGCTTCCCTGCTGAAGGCTATAGGCTGTCCTTGCCCTGGCTGTTCCAGCTTCCCTTTCAGTCAGCTGGCGCGGGCCGCTCGGGTGCCCCCGCGCTGTCCTGAGCTCCCAAGGCCTGTCCGCAGGGGAGGGTCCCTGCTTACAGCTCTCCTAGCAGGGCCCCTCTTGCCAAGGCCACTCACCTTGGCGTTGACGATTTCGATGTGGATGAGCAGGGAGGAGAGCTCCAGGTCCTCCGTGTAGCTGTTCTTCAGGGGCACGGACCTGTAGCCTGCAGCAGCAGTGGAGTGTTAACAGACTGGTTAGCCTGGCTCCTTCCCTGCAGCCAGGCCGCGTGCATGCAGGCGTTCTCGCGCTGCTCTGCAAACCCTTGCAGGCGCGCTCCCCCATTGTCCCGTCTGCCGTCCCCCAGCGGCACACGCGTGTGGGACGGAGGCGGCGGGCGGGTTTGGGGCACCGGGGGTTGCCGGTGAGGATGGAGCGGGGAGGGGCCTGCTGACCAGGGAGACGCCTGCGGGGTCTGCGGGCGAGGAATTCGCCCTTCTCTGGGGCTCTCCGAAGGCTGGTTTCCAGCCTGGTGCGAGGAGGGGCCGGCGGCAGGCAGCCTGTACCTGTCTTGAGTCCCTTGACGGGGAAGGTGGCCTGGGCCAGGAAGTTGGGGTCGCTGAACATGTCCTCCTCATACACCACGAAGCGCAGGAAGGCAAACTCAGGGTTGTTGATGTCGAAGACGAACTGCTTGAGAAGCCACGTGGGGTTCAGGCCGTTATCAGCTGGGGAAGCAGGGGAGGGGTCAGTGCGCAAGAAACACCAGCCTCTGGGCAGGGAACAAGGGGGAGCGCTGGGTCTGCCCAGGCAAGGCAGCTGGCTGTCCAGGGACTGCGTGACTCACGTCGCTGGCCCCTGCTGGGGAGCTGCTCAGCAGCCTGTGTCTATATGGCCCCACCCTGCTCCCCCGTGGCAGGGATCAGGCCCATGTTTGGATGCCTGAGTCTGGATGGATACGCCGCCGTGGCCTGCCGGAGCGCGGGGACCTGCCCAAGAGCCAGTCGGGGCCCCTACTGGCCGCTCCAGGGGAGCCCGAGGTTACTACCAGCCCCTGTTCTAGGATCCCTGTGGATCCAGCCACCCCCGCCCACAGGGAGCCGTTCTAGGGCAGGTGCGCTGAAGCCGCCCCGGCTCCTTTTACCGACACACTTTCTAGCTCTGAGGATCCACAGCCCCGAGGATTCCCCGCCCCTTACCAGGGCAATCGATACATGGCATGTCCGGGGTGCACCCAGCCCCCACAGAGGGAAACTGCCCCTCCCTGCCCCAACACAGAGGACTCCAATTCCCCGAGAGCAGCAGGCCGGGAGTTCTGGTCCTGCTGCCTCCTGTACTGAGGCTGCCAAGGGAGGGTCTGTGTACAGGAGCTCATGGCTTTCTGTGATAGAGCAAAGTTGGGCCACTTGTATTCACCCTGCCATTAACACAGCCCAGCCATGCAGGGAGCTGGCTGAATTTCTGCCTGGGCCAGATGGGGGTGAGCCCGTCAGGAGCATTCTGCTCCCGTAGCTGAAAGGGGCCGGTTCTCTGCAATGCCTCTTCCCACCCGCTCCTCACCTACAACGTCCGTCTTGTTCTTGCTGCTGTCAAACTCCGAGCCGCAGACCTCCACCTCCACGAAGGGGCACACGATGCTCCTGCCATTCTTGGGGAGATGCCGGGCCCCTACGATCTGGGCGAGGAGGCAGAGGTGTCAGGAAGAGACAAGCAGACCACAGTGTTAGAACTGCTGCAGACACAGGCCAGCAGCACCGGAATAGCAGGGACAGGCCCCGTCACTTTTTACTGGCCATACAGGGAGGACACAGAGAGGAGTGAGCAGAGGGCAGGGCTCTGGTGCGATGGGGCGGCTTGGGATGGAATCGGAACTTCTAGCTGTGTGTCATAGGCTCTATACTGCTAACACCCAGTGGAGAGTCTTTTCATGCTCAAGAGCTAGGGGCCTCCCATGCTTCTGGAGCAGGCTCCGAGATCCCCGCCTGTGAGGGTGGGAGAGGTCGCTGCACAGTGAAATGTGCATTTCTCATTTATCGCCTGTGTCGTCTCTGCCCTCCAGAGGGGTTCTGGCTGCAGAGGGGTTCTATGGGTGTGATTGGGACGAGGGTTTGGCCCACGGTATTAATCTATGAAAGAGGCAGATATTGAGTGATTGACGGGGCTGAGCTGACTGGTCCCAGGACTCCCCCGAATCCGAGGCTGGTCTTTCACTTGCCTGGAGCTGCACTGTGATGGGTTCCACAATCTTCAGGCTGCTCTTGTCAAAGGGGTCAAACAAGTCGTCCCGCATAATGTCTGGCTGCAGGACGTAGCCACTGCGGCCTCCCAGCATGAACAGCGCCTGGTTCAGCTGCATTGGTTTATCTGAAAGAAGCCCAAGGGCAGACACCAATCAGGACGTAGAGAGAGACAGTGGAACGTTCAAAGGGGCAAACACCAATCAGCACGCAGAGAGAGACAACGGAACGTTCAAAGGGGCAAACACCAATCAGCACGCAGAGAGACAACGGAAAACGTTCAAAGGGGCAAACACCAATCAGCACGCAGAGAGAGACAACGGAACGTTCAAAGGGGCAAACACCAATCAGCACGCAGAGAGAGACAACGGAACGTTCAAAGGGGCAAACACCAATCAGCACGCAGAGAGAGACAACGGAACGTTCAAAGGGGCAAACCCCATTCAGCATGCAGAGAGAGACATTCCTATCCCGCACTCGTGCCAGGGAGCGGGGTCGGGGGCTTACAAGGCCCGTGCACCAATGCTGCTGTCCAGCACATGCGCCGGGCAGGAGCGGGACAAATCCCCGACCAGGCTTCACGACTAAAGCACACTGGCAGGACAGAGCGGGACAAAGCCTGTGCCCCGACCCCAGACCTCGGCAGGAGTGCTGGGCGGGCAGAGCTGAGATGGGGGTGGGCGGGCCTGGATGCTAAGTGGGTGGGGGCTGTAGCTCTGCCCCTGGGCCGGAGGCAGCAGGGAGGCACCCACGAGGTCTCTGCACAGTGTGGAGGCACATGGCTGTGCAGGAGGCTCTGCCCATGGCAGTTCCATTGGCTGGGGGAGCTCAGCCCCCGCCTCTGCCCCACCGGGAGCTCTGCACAGGGGGCGCTGTGCTCTGCATGGGGTGGAGGCATTCGGAGCTGCTGGCAATTGCATCAGGCTGGCTCTTGGTCATGAGATGAAGCCGTGGGACTCTCTTCCCCGGGGCAGAGGGGCCCTGTTGCAGCATCCCCTACTGTGTCGCTGCCCAAGAACTGCTGGAGGGTAAGCTTGTGCCTACCTGGGGTCTGGAAGTTGAGCGCCACCAGCTGGCTGCCACAGATCCACATGGGCAGGGGGTCGTAGTTGGAGGAGTCGAGGCGCTGGCCCTTGGGGTAGATGCGGGAGAGCTGCAGCCGGTTGTATTGTAGGAACTTCTTGCCTTTGATCTTGTTGACGTACTTCTCGGCCTTGGTCTCGGGGAAGGAGGACATGTCCCGGTAGCAGGCCTTGTCCGTGCCGATCTCTGCAAGGACAACAGGCAAGGTCGGTGGGTGGTCACTGGAGGCCCCGGCTCGAGAGGCATCAGGCTGCTCTGGAGCCCGGCACATGAGCGAGGCCTACCGAGGATGGGAGCTCTCTGGGCTGGCAGCCCCCACTGTGAACTTCCTCTGCCCGAACTGGAACCCACGGCCCACCCACCTATGGAGCTGGGCTGCTCTGACCCCTGGAGGGGCG